TAAGTTGCTGCCTGACATATTTGTTTATGATTTTGTCATAAAGCAGGCAATTTTGATACGGTATGGGTTTTGTTCATTGTGAAGTGTAAAGTAACCAATGGTTGGTCAAATCTATTTCATTTGGACTTTGTTTGAAAGTCCTCTCAGTGAAAACCATTCCACGTCTCCTTTTTCAATTAATGTTATTGTGTTATTTGTAAAAGGCAGATACAGCCAATATATTAGAATAAAGAACATTAATTTTATAAAACAAAACTTCATCTCTATATAGTAAGAAATGAACAAGCTCGGTGGCTAACACTGTTTAAATTTAAAAAAAATATTAACCTTAGATTAATCATTTTTGGAAAGAATGAAAGAAGAATCCGATACAAGGGATACAAATCCGGCTGTGGCTACGGCATAAACTATTTATATAAACTTTCTACTTGAGAATAAAGATGACTTTGTATGAAGTTTTCTTTGGTTGTCATCTTAATATTATGTACTTATTAATACAATTCCAGAAGCTAGCATCTTCGACTTGTAAGTTTAAAGAATTATAATGAAATAACATCTAATAAGGACAGGTTGAAATAATTTTGAACCCTGATGGTACATACTCATAAATTCTTTTGGAAAAATCAACATAAATTTAAATGTTGATTTGATAGCGTTCATTTATTTATTTGCCCTCGTAAACAGTTTTGTTAAAATACCGAAATCGGTAAATTCTTATCGTGAACGAATAAGTCGGGTACACCTTTTTACATTCAGGCGTGCTTAAGTTGCACTTTTTTCTTCTTATTAAGAAAAATGATTTTAATTTTAGCATCTATCTAAAGCCGATTAGATTATTTACACACACACAAAAATAGGGCTTACTGTTGATTTTGAAACTCTATGAATTCACATTTATATTCAACCAAACAGATAGGCCGAGATCCATACCTTTATAAGTTTTAAAACAGAGAAGGTGTGTTTGAAAACAAATAATCACGTACTGCTATATCTTTTAAGGCAAATGCAAGTCTTACTTGTATTTATTATATAATTTTAATTGGCACAATATCACATTAAAATTTACTGAGAAATATTATACAAAAGTAATCATGAAAATGTACTACTGTAACAATGAAAATTCGGACAAATACACTCCTTTTCACTACCCATCCATCTACTCATTTGAGTTTAGGCCAAACAGCCTTAGCAACAGTTTTTTTATTATTTTTTCCCTATAAATAAAAAGATTGATTGAATTTACTTAAACTAAAAAAAAGACAATCTTATTTTCAATAAGAAACAAGAAAATTAATTCGAAACACAATTCATGATTTATTTCTCCTAATTTTCAATGAAAACAAAGTATTTTCTTCACTTTTCTTTTTATAAATTAACAAATTATTCATTTCAAAAATTTAAAAAATAAACAATAAACAATGTTGAAGACCGTACCTTGACCTATAATGGTTTATTTTTATAAATTTTGACTTGGATGGAGAGTTGTCTCATTGGCACTCATACCACATCTTCCTATATCTATTTAACCCAGCACATTCTTTATGTGTCTGTCCGAAGCCACGAGCCTGTAGTTTGGTGGTTGTCGTTGGTTCATCTCTATCATATTAGTTATATTTCGTAAATTGTTTTTTATGAGTTAGGCCGTTAGTTTTCTTGTTGAATCCTTCCACAATTTTCATGTCGGGGCTTTTTATAGCCGACTGTAAGGTACGATTTTTCGTTGTTGAAGGCCAAACGATAGCATATAATTGCTTACATACACTTTATTTGACCCTGGTGGATAGTTATCTTATTTGCAATCATACAACATCTCCACTGTTTATATTAAAAAAAACAGCACCAACATAGGATGAATGGGCACCCTGACAACAAATAAGACAACAGTCGTTAGTATTATAACGATATATGAATGTATTTAGGATAATATGGTTGAAAAAACCTTTTTGTCTTTAACAACACAAAGTCAAATAGAGGTACGCAACGACGACTTCTGAACGAAATTGACGGCATATATTTTATAATATTTGATAATTAGTTTATTTTGTATATTTGTAAGCCGGTAAAGCTTTGATACAGCCAAAATTTCGTCACTTGATATTATCTAAGCAGTGATTAATTTCATCTTTAAATTACAATATATTGCAAGACGCCGTACAGACAAAAGTTGTTATTTTGCAATTCGCCGTACAACGTCCTGCAATTCGCCGTACAATAAAAAAAAACAATGTTTTGGTCCATATTCTTTAAAACATCTTAATGACAACAGATTTCAGTCAATATGATGTCACACTATCATAATCTAAAAACGTGTCTGGAAAAATAATGAAATACAGTTGAATATCTTGCCAATGGGGCGACAGAGGACAATCGACCTCGAAATTTTCAGGTACTAAGTGGCAAGCTTTGGAGTATAACACAAAATCTTGTCTTAATTTTGTACTTATCGGCCTAATAATTTAAAGAATTATATATCAGAAAATCATTTCTTAAGCGGTACCCTCGTCAAATCAGTAGAAATGCTTTAAATTGAATGAATTCTTACCTTGTTTACATTTTTTTCCCATTTCTCTCCGCTTCGTTAGTACCCAATTTCCGGTGGCGATGATACACAGTGGTTGTGGGAATGTATAAATACCATACCACGTGCGGTCTGTATTTTTGTTACTTGTTTTTCTGCTTTGTATCGATCTGATGAGTTTAGACCTTTTCAAATGATTTTAATAGTTTGTTAATATGTTGGGATGTTACACCACTGTCCCAAGTTAGGGTAGGGTTAAGCGCCTCAATTATGTTTAAACCCGCCACATTCTGTATGTGCCTGTCTCAAGTCAGGAGCCTGTAATGCAGTTGTTGTCGGTTGTTGCTGTATATCATATTCGTTTTTCGTTCATTGTTTTGTGCCGTTATAGTTTTCTCGTTTTAATTGTTTTATATTTGTTATTTCGGGGCCTTTTATAGCTGAATATGAGGTATGAGTTTTGCTAATTGTTGAAGGCCGTACGAATGACCTATAGTTGATAACTTTTATTTCATTTGGTCTCTGGTGGAGTGTTATTTCGTTGGAAATTATACCACATCTTCTTATTAATATATCCATAGTTGAATTTTTAAAAAGAATTTGTTGAAAGACACAGAGTTGTCTAAGGAGTATTTGTTTATTTGTTCATAATTTTGTTTTCAGTTGTTTTTGTTTCTCTTGATGTGAACAGAGACATAAATATGTCTCTGATGTGAACACGTATAATGATAATTTTTTTCATTTGGATTAGAACAGAGACATATATACACATATGTGTATATATATATGTATATATGTCTCTGATTAGAAATATATAGCAAATGTCTGAACAGAATGTAATATTTGTGTTTATCACATGAGAAAATGAGAATGTTTCACAACAAAAATACAATGTACAACTAAATAAACAAATAAACCTGTAACAATTCTACTTCTATTGGTAGTCGATTATATGAAATATATAGTGAAAAATGGCCACACTCTGTATGAATCCATCACGAGTTATAAATTTTTAATATTAAATAAAAGAAACCGTCTCTTACTAAAAGGTGTCACTTTCTGCTTCTTCAAATTTACACATTAGTAAAATTGTCAAAGTTTATTCTTTTTCTATATTCTGGAGTATTGGTGTCACGGAATAGAATAGTCCGAGATTACTCTGACGTCCAACGGCTATTTTGCCAGAAAAGCTGGGGCCGTGGGACGTCAGAGCTCGTCCCATATCAAAAAGTGGATATTTGCCCGTCCAAAATAGATGCGCTGCTTCGTCGCTTCTGGTGCCAACGGACGGCCTTGGAATTATATAAATCGGGTATCAATTTGTTCATTTTTCATTTATCTCTTCATTTATGTAAGTTTCACCTACCTTCCACCCTTTATTTTCTCATATTTAGACAGTTTTCACAGTGACCCATCGATTCAGACATTTTTACTTTTATTTTCAAATGTTACGAGAGATTTTGCGACCTCGAGACTCAAATATGCAAATATTTATACTTTTTTCACCTCCTTTATAGGAGATCGATATTTAACATTTAGTAGCCAACCACGATTTTTCACCTCCTTTACAGGAGATCGGTATTAAGCATTTAGTGCCAACCACGATAACATTCAGAAGCTCTCGGATATTTACATTGCTTGCATCGTAAATGAGCGAGGTGTTTGATTATATATTCATATTGACCTAGGGTCATATGCATACATAATTTCCCATAGTCCATTGTGCCTTACTTTTTTCTCGTGATCACATGACAATCTTTCAAAATGAAAGTCAAAATGCCAGAATCGGTGGGTCACTGTGAAAACTGTCTAAATATGAGAAAATAAAGGGTGGCAGGTAGGTGAAACTTACATAAATGAAGAGATAAATGAAAAATGAACAAATTGATACCCGATTTATATAATTCCAAGGCCGTCCGTTGGCACCAGAAGCGACGAAGCAGCGCATCTATTTTGGACGGGCAAATATCCACTTTTTGATATGGGACGAGCTCTGACGTCCCACGGCCCCAGCTTGTCTGGCAAAACAGCCGTTGGACGTCAGAGTAATCTCGGACTAGGAATAGAAGTTCCTTCATAATATAAGTTCCAAATGGAAACAATATTCTGGAATATTATTTCCACTGGAATAAATATTACAGTAAATGTTCCTAACGGAATAAATGGTATAGAATATTTGTTCCAACAGGAACATATATTATGACATTGTTTATAACAAAGTTTCCAGTGGAACTTCTGTTAGGCGGAACAAATATACGTTGACAGCGGGTACAAAGGCGTATAATTAAGCTAGGTTTTAGCCTAACTCATGGCTTATATCAATTCAAAAATATTTTCATTGAATATACATTTTGATTTTGTTTAATATTTTTATATAAATCAGTAGATAAAATTTTTTTTTAGTGAAACGCTGTTCAAATATAAAATATTGAGACATCTATAAAAAAATTTTTAATAACCACACGAACTCATAGATTGTTAATGATATAAGGAACAACTTGTCCTTCGCGAATTCTGGTAGCGACCGCTACCATGGGTGGGCATATGACTAGGGCTATTGATGCCCAGATCTTGAATCCAGATGTTGCTCCTGATTATCGTAATCCACCAAAATTTGATCCTATGTTAGGATTTGAAAATGGAAGAAAAGAAAGAGGTTGTTACAAATGTATTTGAAATAATCTGAGACTAGTAGTACTGAACACAGAGATGCTGAGATTACTTTAACACATTATCTTATTGTGTTGTAGTAATCTCAGGAAGAAACAAGAACTTAGTTTTATCTGGGACCAAAATATTAATGTATTCATATATCAGTCCCAGGTTTTCATGGTTTTATACAGATTTTTTTAAGGGGGAGGGGGGCATGGTTTTACTTTAGGGTACAAGTCAAATCTGCACCTATAGAAAAAGTCAAATCGGCGCATATAGAATAAGTCAAATCAGCACCTGGTTAAATCGGCATCTGGTCAAATCGGCACCTATTGAAATTCAATTCGGCTTCCGATAATATTTGATATGATATATATATAAATAATTCTAAATATGTTAATCACTTTCAATTCTTAATTATTTTTAAAAATTTTGAGGTTGGATTTTATTTTATTCATTACATCGTTAAAAATCATCACATGTTATCAAGCAGTTAGAATACATAAGTTAATTGTTTGAAGTTTTCGCAACATTTTATGACTAATGTTTGGATTAGTTTTCTTTTCAATTAATGAATTAATAACATTTATTAATTAAATAATTAACATGTTTGCTGTTTTAATGCTATACAGGTAGTTTTTGATGTTTTTTCTTCAAAACTTAAATAAAAAACAATGAACCCATTACCCAAGCTGTTGTTTAATCATGAGAAAATTAGAAGCAGTTAAGGTAGTATTTCAGGATAGTTTAAACATCATTAAACCAACAATCTTGCAAAATGCTAAACTGGTTAAAACATGCATAACAAATATCAAATACCTTGAATACACAGTTGAACGAAAAAAAATACATACAGACACCCCCTCCAAAAATGTTAATATATTAAAGTCAATATTTCTGGACAACCCCTTCTTTATTTTAATCTTTTTTGCTTAAAATACAATAAAAGATATATATTCAACAAATTCAACATGGGTGCCGAAATGACTACATTGTGTGCCGATTTAACCAGGTGCCTATTTGACTAGGTGCCAATTTAACTATACCAGATGCCATTTTGACTAGAATTCATGGTTTACCCTTGTCTGTCTGTACGTCCTTCTGTATGTTTCTGTTCTCTAACTTTAGTTTCCCTAGACCAAATGTTATGAAACTTATACACAAAGCTTATTACCACAAAACACAGATCAAGTTCAAATTTGGTTGGAGTCACTTTTACCATTCCTGAGTTATGCCCCTTTATAAATGGAAAAAATTGCTGAGTTTCCATTCTCTTTCTTTAGTTTGACTGAACTAAATGTTATAAAACTTATACACAATGCTTATTACCATAAAACACAGATCAAGTTCGAATTTGGGTGGAGTCACTTTTACCGTTCCTGAGTTATGCCCCTTTATAAATGGAAAAATTGCTGAGTTTCCATTCTCTAACTTTAGTTTGCCTGAACCAAATGTATTAAAACTTATACTCAATGCTTATTACCATAAAACACAGATCAAGTTCGAATTTGGGTGGCGTCACTTTTACAGTTCTCAAGTAATGCCTCTTTATAATGTTTGATGCAAGAGGGGGCATCATGTGTGTCCCATGGACATATTCTCCATTTATTTTCATTCATCAAACAGTCATTTTTCGACTACAGTTGCATCAAACAGTCATTTTTCGGCTACAGTAAGTGTCAAATTGAATTAATTTTCATCGTGATTCATCAAAATATCTTTATCCTAATTTGAAAGAGGTTTCAAATAATTATTGTCACTGTTATTTTTGGAAAAAATATAACATGTTTCGTGAAAATAAGTATGTTTATATCATCAATTGACGAAAAATCAACCAAGAATATTTTTATCATCCACACTATATCAAATCTACTAGATACATGTACCATCAATCTCGCATAAAAAGGAAAGCCGAGATACCATGCATTTCTTAGAACAAATAAATCATGAGGACGTTTAAGGCTATGTCTTTTTATATGACCGATTATTAAAAATAATATTAAAATGTAATAAAAATAAAGTTCATAAAATAGTAGGATCTGTCATTTTATTCAATGAATTATCATGTTTCTATACAAGTTATTCCAGGTTTTTTGACAATGAAAAAGCCAAAGAAAGGTATGATAGGTGAAATTATAGTTGCTTGATTTATATCCAGTGGCAAATATTTCATACCATATTCTGGATGAGAACAAATTATTAATTTATACAATATAAGGTTTTGCATATAGTGGTTCAAAATGCATCAATTCCAGGAAATTTAAACTGCCACTATAATTATGTTTCAAAAGTTTTGCTATGTGATGGGCCACAAACCTTCATGGAGCTATTACAAGGACAATTTAACAATGCACTATTCTGACAAGGAACATTATATTTTATATCCCCATTCCGACCAGAAGTGGATGCATAATTATACACCCCAAACAGCAAAACCGATGGCTCTTGTGATATTTCTATACCACTTGGTACATGTGTACAGGTTTCATTAGGGCTAGACTGCTAATAAATTGGTCTAGTGGTGGTCCCTTTTCAAAATGGGTTTAGGTTGGATGACCCAAAGCTCTAGTCAAAATGGTTACTAATGGGAGAGGGTTGAGCGATCACAAACATGTTTAACCCCGCCACATTCTTTATCTGCCTGTCCCAAGTCAGGAGCCTGTAGTTCAGTGGTTGTCATTGGTTCATGTCTGTCATACTTGTTTTTAGTAAATTGTTTTGTTATAAATTAGGCCATTAGTTTTCATTTGAATGGTTTGATATTTGTATCTTGTCAGGACCTTTTCATATTTGCCATGTCTGGAAATTAATAAACTGTCTTTGATCTAATTTACTAAAGAGATTTTTCTGTTCAATATCAATATAAGAATAGAATTTTATGTGTAATAACTGCTATCATTGATTCTTATTGATTTATTTTTCAGTCATGATGGTCAGTGCAGAAGATATGGATGTTGCAAAGGTTCCTTTGAGACATCGTGGTTACTGTGCCCATCTATATATAGACTGGAGAAAATGTATGCAGGATCATTTCTTTAGGCCTTCTAAATGTGACCATCCAAAACATGACTTTGAAAACTGTGAATTTGAAGAGTAAGTTTACTTTCTAATTAGTTTTCAATATAAGACAAAAAATCTTGTGTATTTCTACATAACATAATGATTTAATTTGTATAAAAGTCTTTGATCTGGTACCTTATCGAATGCTTTATCTAAGTCCATTATAATGAGACAGTTTGAGTGTTGGGCCATAAAAAAGAATATGTTTGTTTGCCCTAACCCTACCTAACCAGAAAATAGCTGCCTACACAAAATCTTTTATTGTCCTGATGTGAAAAAGTTTTTTTTTAATCAGATAGGCATGAAGACTAAAAAACATCTGACACTTCAATTTCTCTTTGCCGAAAAAAAAAAAAAGAAAATGCCTACCTACCTTTCCACTGTCTATACCTTTGGGTATGATTTGGGCAAAGCAAAACATTTTTAAGTGTGGCCTTATTGTTTGTAGCATATACATTGTAGTTCTTGAATAAAAGATAGTTGTTGTCCTGTGGTGCTTGTCCAGTTTCAAGTGATTTTTTAGATATTATTGTTAAAATTGGTGCTATATGTTTCTTGCATTTCTTATAAAATATGGCCAGCCCACTGATATTGTCAGGGCCGGTGCGTAAGGCCTTTATTAGGGTTGATGTTGTTAAGGAGTTTTGTTATGCTTTGTAGATATAGTCTAAAAGTTAAAATTTACGGTAAATTTTCATCATCATGATAAGGAGAGGCAATATGAATTAGGTCACAGTGTCTTATACTTCTTTGAACAATTAATCGGCTAGTTCCCTTTTGTACGAGGTTCACTTGAACGCATGTCAATGACTATGTATTTTATATGCAGTAATTAGATACGTTTGGATAACAGTTATTAATGTTACAGAGGTTACTGATAAAAATCAGTTCCTATTATCATTGAAATATTCTACAGTTATGATTATCTTTCCAGTTATTTGTCCACAAGTTACGATTATCTTCTTTTGGAGTTACAATTATCTTCCTTAAATTTTCGATGGCTATTTTGGTAACGATGTCATATATGATATTAAGAATACACACACACACACAACAAAACTGTGCAGATCAACCTGGCGGCTGAGTAATTCTTGTAAACAACAAGTTAAATTAGCAGAAAACGATTTTAACTATTTCTACTTCAGCCATGTTGGGATCATGGTAATTGCAGTTACCACGATCAGTTTAACCAATCACCTGTGGTTAAATTTGAAAATCAAGTGCTATTTATGACATATATTTGTATAAATAATGTTCTTTTTTATTTTCAGTTATGTGTTAAGAATGAAAGAATATGAAAGGGAAAAGAGACTGCTTAAACGTCAGAAAAGAATTAGGGAAAAACAATTACAAGAAAACATTGGTGGTTAATTGCATTTTAAGTAGATCTATTTTTTTGTTTCTTTTCTATTAAAGTTTTGATGACTTATCAAAGTTGCCTTTTTTTGTTGATATACAGTTTTGTACAAACTAGAGTAGTAAATGAGCATTTTCAGATAACTGCTAATCATGTACAGTATATATGATCATATATATGTTGGAGGATCATTGTCAATCCTTTCTGTTTGTATGTTCATCTTTTACTTATGCTGTTTGTTCATCTGTCAGAGCATATCTTGTGTTAATTCAAGTTTAGCCTTACATATCTTTATAACATTTTACAAAATGTGTGACACTACTAAGGCAAGCTCTACTATGGTTTTGATGATAAACAGATTTGTATTTCAAAGTTATAGGACATAATTGTTGTATATTAGGTAATTTCGAGCATATGTCGTAACAAATCAAATTTGCTTTATTGAAAGTAATCACAATTCTCTACATGATTTACATATTTGGTCCAAAACATTCTTGGAATTGTCTTTCCACAGTCAAGGGACATAATTTATGAAAATAGACAATTTGAAGCAAACCTCATTTTAAATTCAATGTTGCTTCATTGAATCTTTTGAATAAGGGGTTCAACAATGAGAGTTCCTTAATTAAGACAATTTTCACATTTGTCATTCCAGAGATAAGGGACCTAAAATCATTAAACATCTTACAATTATGAGGCCAAAAATTAAATTTTAATTGTTTGATGTTGCCTTCCTTCCCACCCAGAATGCAGCCTATCTGAAAAATTTTATGAAACAAATCATTTCTTTTTTTTTTTTGCTCAAGTCGTTTTCTTGTCTAAAACATGTACCTTATGTTGTTTGGGAAAAAACGTACCCAACCCTACAAGGCACAGATGGGCAACATCTAAAAAAGGGTTTGCCTGAGCATGTCACCTGATAACTTTATTGTCCCGGAGCAGATCTCCATGAACATTTTGTACATTTTTATAGTCCATTAATACAAAAAAAGAGATACCAATAGGACAATCAACCATAGTTGAAGAAAGACGGACAACATTCAACATAACATTATCCAGGAATTAAAGTTTCAGCAACAGGAACTTGCTAGAAACTGATGGTAAGCTTGGGTGTTACAGAAGGGTAGGCAGTTCCTAATGTATGTGATATTTGCTGTTTAAGACAAGTAAAAATCTGGTGAAAAGTGAGTCAAATACCATGATGCCATAAACAAGAAAAAGAGAATTTGATTCTTCTTACAATTGGTAGAACACATATTTTACACAGATACAGATATTTAAGAACAGTCAACCACATTATTATGGTGTCCATAAACAAACATTGTGTGAATGTTCATTGTTTATCTACTGTAGTTGTCAAACTTTAGTTTTCAGTTTATATAGATCATCTAAAAAATTAAAGCACTTGGGGTCTTAGAGTAACCATAACAAGGTACAAATGATCATTCTACCTTGAAATTTTTAGAAAAATCAGACAACTTAACACTATTTTGGTGTTCCTATAGAATATTTTTGGAAATTTGAGGTGACCTGGTTACTAAAGCTTGTAAACAGGAAAAAAAAAGAGGTGAAAATTTGCTTTGTTTGCTTCCTGTGCAAGTTATTTTATGCCATGAATGTGTGAAATTTTCACTGTAGTACTAACAAGTTGACACTTTATTCATGTATTTCTTGAAAGAAATGTAAATTCCACACAATTAAAAAAAAAAATAGGCTGATTTGACAAACACTAAGTACTATGTTTTTCTTGAAAGAAAGGTAAATTCCACACCATTAAAAAAAATAGGCTGATTTGACAAAGACTACTTTGGGGGGGTGGGGGTGGGGGGGGGGGAAACAATGGTGGTATTGCCCCTTAGAATTTAAGAAACATTGGACACGCTATTTTGGAGTTGGGACGCCTTGTAAGTCCATTTTTTGGCAAATATTTAGATTTTTGGCTATTGCCGTAAAAACTAGAGATATTTTCTGAACAGTAGAACAAGATTGATCGACCCTGAAAATTTCAGAAAAATCAGACAATTCATTATGGAGTTGTGGCCCCTGAAATGTCAAATTTTAGCACAGAGTTCAACTTCAGTAGCTAGATGAAAATAATATATCTCCACTCTAGGAGTGGTAGTTATATTGTAATCACCGTGCCATCTGTTTGTTTTTACAAGAAATATTTTTCGTCACCCTTTTCCCAGGTACTACTAGAGCACATTTTGGATTTGTCCGGCACATACTTCCTGCATGTTTGCACTTTGATTTTTTTATGTTGAATGAACTTAATATTTTCGTCACACATTTCTCCAGTTTTATTGAACATATTGACTTCATATATGGTCAGCAGCTTGACAATGATGAATGCAGCATGTTAGTGCTTTTTATACGACCGCAAAAAAATTTTGTGGTCGTATATTGGTATGACGTTGGCGTCGTCGTCGTCGTCGTCGTCCGGCGTCGTCGTCCGAATACACATTGGTTTTCGCACTCTAACTTTAGTTTAAGTAAATGGATCTTTTTGAAATTTTACTATAAGGTTAAATACCACAAAAGGAAGGTTGGGATTGATTTTGGGGGTTATGGTACCAACAGTTAAGGAATTAGGGGCCAAAAAGGGGCCAAAAATAAGCATTTTCTAGTTTCCAGACAATAACTGTGGAACAGTGTATGGATCTCTCTGAAATTATACTACAAGTTTCCATACCACAAAGGGATGGTTAGGATTTGCTTTGGGGGGTTATAGCTCAAACCGTTTAGGAATTAGGGGCAAAAAAAGGGGGAAAAACAAGGTTGTCCTGGTTAATGGACAAATACTTAGTACAAAACATAATTTAAAGCAGTGTAAGGGAGATAAATCAAATACATCATTGAAATTATCTCCCTTACACTGCTTTTAAATTATGTATAAAGTAATGGTTAATGAACAATAAAGATAATTTAAAACAGTGTAAGGGAGGTAATCCAAATACAACGTTTTGGTTACTTCCCTTACACTGCTTTTAAATTATGTTTAAAGAAATGCATATTTATAAAGGAAGACCAGTAAAAATATCTGCAAATGTTGCATCATTTTTTTTTACAAAAAAATCCATATGAAAGATTTGACACTATATTTTTAATTCTATTATAAAATAGATTAAGTTAGCACTATGGTAAATTTAAATGGGTAATTATGGTTGCCAACTCCATTGGAAATTTGAATTGAGATTATGACCATATCTTGAGGGAAAGAATTTTTTGGGGGAAAAAAGGGGGGGGGGGATAAAAAAAATTGTGGGGGGTCAATTTTTTCTCATTTCAGATTTCAGAAATTAAAAAGAATTATTCTTCAAATATTATTTTTTTTTCAAATTTCAAATATTGAAAAATTTCAAGAAGTAATCTTTAATTGCACAGTATGGCACATTAGATTTGTAAAATCTTTGATCACATTTATTTATTTGTTATGCTGAATCTAACAGTGTATTTAGATTTTTAATTTTGGGTCCAGTTTTCAAAATAGTCTACATTAAGGTCCAAAGGACCCAAAATTAAACTTTGTTTGATTTTAGCAAAAATTGAATATATGAGGTTCTTTGATATGCTGAATCTAAACATGTATTTAGATTTTTGATTTTTGGCCCAGTTTTCAAGTTGGTCCAAATTGGGGTCCAAAATTAAACTTTGTTTGATTTCAACAAAAATTGAATAGATGGGGTTCTTTGATATGCTGATTCTAACCGTGTATTTAGATTTTTTATTTGTGGACCCCGTTATCAAATTGGTTCATATTGAGGTCAAAAGGGTCCAAAATTAAACTTTGTTTGATTTCATCTAAAATTGAATTATTGGGGCTCTTTGATATTCCAAATCTAACCGTGTATTTAGATTATTAATTTTGAGTCCTGTTTTTTAAATTGGTCTACATTAAGGTCCAAAGGGTCCAAAATTAAACTTAGTTTGATTTTAACAAAAATTGAATTCTTGGGGTTCTTTGATATGCTGAATCTAAACATGTGTTTAGATTTTTGATTATGGGCCCAGTTTTCAAGTTGGTCCAAGATAGGGTCCAGTATTTAAACTTTGTTTGATTTCAACAAAAATTGAAAATATGGGGTTCTTTGATATGCTGAATCTAAACATGTATTTAGAATTTTGATTATGGGCCCAGTTTTCAAGTTGGTCCAAATTGGGGTCCAAAATTAAACTTTGTTTGATTTCAACAAAAATTGAATATATGAGGTTCTTTGATATGCTGAATCTAACCATGTATTTAGATTTTTTATTTGTAGGCCCCGCTATCAAATTGGTTCATATTGAGGTCAAAAGGGTCCAAAATTAAACTTTGTTTGATTTCATCAAAAATTGAATTATTGGGGTTCTTTGATATTCCAAATCTAACCCTGTATTTAGATTTTTAATTTTAAGTCCCGTTTTTTAAATTGGTCTACATTAAGGTCCAAAGGGTCCAATATTAAACTTAGTTTGATTTTAGCAAAAATTGAATTCTTGGGGTTCTTTGATATGCTGAATCTAAACATGTGTTTAGATTTTTGATTATGGGCCCAGTTTTCAAGTTTGTCCAAGTTGGGGTCCAAAATTAAACTTTGTTTGATTTTAACAAAAATTGAATATATGGGGTTCTTTGATATGCTGAATCTAACCATGTATTTTGATTTTGGACATTGGACCATAATAGGTAAATTAAAAAAATTCAAGTTCTTAGACCACATTCTTTCTGTGTCAGAAACCTATGCTGTGTCAAATATTTAATAACAATCCAAATTCAGAGCTGTATCAAGCTTGAATGTTGTGTCCATACTTGCCCCAACTGTTCAGGGTTCGACCTCTGCGGTCGTATCAAGCTGCGCCCCAGCGAAGCATTTTATTCGGAACTGTTATCAGATAGCTCGGATTACAACTGGGGGAATTGTGTGCAACTTGTTATTAATTTAAAAAATGATTACTGTGACTTAACTAAATGTTTATCTCTACCTATTGCAGTTTATTTAAAAATCTGACCAAATTGCAATTTGTTTGATCAAACCAGACTGTTCAACTGGTCAGGAATTTTGACAAGCTGCTGTAGAAAACCAGAGTCAAGTCGTGA